TTCTCCCAGGAGAGATTTCTTCTTCTTCTTCTTTTTCCTTCTGGAAGTTATACTTGGAACCCCCAACTCATTTCGCATTCAGAAAATGTTTTCAACCTCATCTAAATAAGGCATCTATTATACTTTCTCTACTATGCATCAAATAAAACTTGTCTGTTATGTCAAGTGGATGGAGGACTTTAGAAAATCAGAAATATGTATGTCTTGATTAGAGTCTAACACTATACTCTAATTGTAAAATAAAGGCAATTTTGTGTGGGCTGAAAGGAACAGAAGAGATTGATTTGATTATTGTCATCCACTATTAAATGACATGTCTTTTAAATGACATCGGTAGAATGGGTGCTCTAACATAGAAGATACATGCTTTTGATGTACTGCATCATCCAGCGATGCAGTAGGACTGCTTTCTAGAGTAAAATTCTTCATTTATTGGAGACTCACTGCATTGGCTTGAATCAGGTTATGAAGAATCAAATGTTTGTGAAACAGTATATTTGCATTATAATTAATGGTGTGACCTCATTTGAAAGGGTGGTTGTTTTTGTCCATGTAACTAACCAGGATCCATTTAGATCTGTCCCACCAGGATGATTAATTTATCATCTCTCTCAGGCATGAACAACCTTGGGCCCTCCAGGTGTTTTGGACTTCAACTTCCACAATTCCTAACAGCCTACTGACTGTTAGGAATTGTAGGAGTTGAAGTCCAAAACACCTGGAGGGCCAAAGTTTGTCCATACCTGATTCTCTATGTTGGCAATTGATATGTTAAGTGCAGTTTGGTGCTGTTTAGACCATACATGTCTTTAATATGTGTTTCATATCATTTATCTGGTTCCTTGCCTATATTTGCTATGATTTCTGTGTTATTCAATACAGTTTAATTCAGACAGAGAACACAATTTCTCGCAATACATTCAGTAATTATTATTATCTGGAGGTAAATTACATGAATACAAGTTGCTTGAGAAAAGTTCTTTTTTGCCACCACACCATCTGAGGCTGTATTAAATACTATGGAGTGTTTATACCTTTCTTCCTTGTGAAAATGAATAAAGAAAGGGAATTGATGTTTCCTGTGTACCATTGGGACTCTTAAGTGAGCAGAAATGGATAGATTGCGATCTGACTTCTTGCCAAATCAACCTCATGTGAGCCAATGGATTAGAACATAATGAGGTGCAGAGTACTAACCCAAGCTAATATCACCTTCTGCTCACATAAACCAAGCTAAATGAGTATCCCTGTCTCACAGCTGTTTATTAGAAGTGCTCTGCCAATGAGATATTTGCTGCTCAAATATATACACTAACTGTTGGTTGAAGGATGAGGACAGCATTTTATGAACATGACTGGAAGGTAAGAGACCTTGTTTTTCCCACGGAAAGTGCTTAGTTGTATATACACTATATACAGATCTACAGATTACAACACTGAATGCGTGTCCAGCATACCTCAGTTTTATGGTCCATAATACAAATTCTCTATCAGACTGATTCTTCTGTCTCCTAAGAAAGGGTATTCAACTTTCACCCATTCCTGTTCTATTTTGCTTTGTGATTTGAAATAATAAAAGATAATCTTATTTCTACTATGGGTCTATTTCTTAACTAAATTACAGCAACTGTGAGAAACTTTTTGTTAAAGTGAGGAATATTAGGGTTCATTAAAAAACACAAATATGCTAGGTGGGTAAAGAAAAGAATAAGATTTAAAAACCCTGGCCACAATTTAGAATGACCTCTCAGTGTAAATTTGTGAGCATTTAACTAAGTAGCCAATGTGCTAAGGAACCTGGTTACCGAATTCATTGAGATCCAAAACAGGACACCGGCAAGAATACCCAATGTACATTGTTGATGCCTGATGTACGTCATTGGCCCCATGTACAAGATAGACCACAGCACAATATTCTTCATTCTCATTGTGCATTGGTCCCTTTGCCAGCTCTGCTTTGGAGTTAAGCAACAGCAGCCGTTTACCGGATACAGAAGATGTTCATATATTCATAACTGTTTCCTTCGGATGAGATTTACAAGCAGTCTCATTTGTAGATTTACAAGCAATCTCATCTGTAGTTTTACAAACAATGCCCCAAAATAATTTCACCCATTTTTCTTTATGGAAAGTCAAACCAGTTGGTTTTTGCCATCTGATGTACGTGCTCTTTCTTTTAGGTTCACTTAAAAAAATAAAAAAGGCCTGGAACTAAGAGTTCATGGAACTTAGAGAAGTACTGACTTGACAAGTTCCCTTGATTTAAGTGGGTCTAACTAATCTGGGAGCATTCATTAGATTTAGGCCAAAGTCACAACATTAACTACTTTCTTGGTCAGCATGTTTTGAAAAAGTATTTTCACAATATTAGAAACACACATACACACAGACAAAAAATGGAAAATCAACTTGGGCTCATTTAGTTCTTATAGAAGGCCTAGAGATTACCCTAGATGCAGACTGAAACCATATTGGCACCTGATTGGAAACTCTCCAGATTCTTCCCTTATTTCTGCCTTGAGTCTAAGACTAAATGTAGACTATATGACTTTCACAACAACCAAATTCTCCCTACCCAGAGCACTATTTTTTTTGCTTTGTTTAATATTTAGCCTGGTTCAGATTTTTGGAGAACACAAAATCATAACAAACTGTTTTGTGACTTCTGGTTTGTAGCCATATTTTGATGTCATGTTTTATTTTCAAAATATTCTGATCTTTTAAATTCTGATCCACAAATCCAAAAACCTTAGAATATGAATCTCAGAGTTTTTAGAATAATTTTAAAAATATATTTACTTTCCCTTGAGCACAGTAATTGGCATCATTTCTTTAAAGTTTGATTTATAAATATGAGCTGTAACAAGTACAAGATGCAACATTAATCCATTCTGGCATCCGTTACTATCAAAGGCAACACAACAGAAAGGATGGTGATGATTGGCTTACGTTTAAAAGGCATGATAAAATCACTTAAATTTCAGCCCAAACATTTCATAAACCTATCTAATATTTTGCGCCCCATATCTATATTACGTTCAGCACCTTGGATAGTACCTTTAAAGTGAAAACTACAATGTTTAGATCAGGCGTAGGTAAACTTCAGCTTTGCAGGTGTTCTGGACTTCTTAACAGCAGTCAGGAATTGTGGGAGTTGAAGTCCAAAACAGCTAGAGGGCCAAAGTTTGCCCATGCCTGGTGTAGATTCATTATCCCATAGCCAGCAGTGGCATTGTGGAGAAAAAAACCCAAGAATGTTGATGTCATCATCCTAACATCACAATATCTTTGCCATTTATTCCAAAAGAAATGATTCTATTTTACAACAGAAATAACCTTTTACTTGGGGTAAAAGAGCAAAGTATTTTGCAAATAGTTGGCATGGGGGATTATGTTTAAAAGGCCCTCCTTTCCTTTTTCTTAATGCTCCTTTACCTTTTTTTTTTTTGCTCCTAAGTAGCTTTGGCACCAAAAGCTACGTCTGCAGAAAGATTTCCCCAATGTGACAGGAACCCTACTGTGTAAAACTTGCCAAATCTCACAGTGTGCAACATTACATTGCAAGCAGGTTTCACTACTTGCTGATTCCATTTTTGCAGCCAGGCTTGCATGGACTCATAATTAAATAGCAAAACCCATGCCGGGTAAAGGTCAAATGCTTTAAATGTGTCAATAAGAATGCTGTACATGTTTATGATTCAACTCACTTTATAGCAAAGTCGGCATAAAACAGCCAACACATCTGTTGAGCTAACAAGGAAGACTTGAGCTAATGATTTATAAGTTAAGCATTGAAATGCACTGAAGGGTGGAAATCACGGTATATACAGTATATTCTGGCGTATAAGACTACTTTTTAACCCAAGAAAATCTTCTCAAAAGTCAGGGGTCGTCTTATATGCGGGTGTAGTCTTATGCATGGCTGTCGTCTTAACTCTATATTTTAACTGGAAAAGTTGGGAGTCGTCTTATACCCCCAGTCGTCTTATATGCCGGAATATACGGTAGTTTTCTACATATATAAGAGCATTTACAATTGTTTTACAGCAAGGGCAAAGTTAACACTTTCGGACTGTTCAAAACCTTTTCTCACTGACCTGGGAGGAAGCCTATTTGAAATCAGCAAGGCTTGCTTCCAGGTAGAGCATTGTACACTAAGCTGTGTCTTTGTGCCTAAGCCTAAATACTTGAAAGTGAAACATTGATTTCCATTAGCCTTACTTCCAGGTTAAACAACCTTAGAATTACAGCACAAGATGGACTTGATCTTGTGCACATATTTCAAGATCACTTGAAGATTAGCAGTCTTTAACTCTTAATACCTTCTATGCACCAGCAGTAGATTTCATCTGAGTGGTTAAAAGGTGGACCTTTTGCCTGTGTTTGCCATGAGTCTTTATGAATGAAGCACAAATTCTAGTTCACTGACATTTTAATCATGGGGCAACCACTATTCTTTTCTGCCAAATATATAGAGATTCTGTCTCAAAGAAATACTAGCTGTCAGTAACTCCAAAATAGCTATATGTTTCAGAAATTTTAAAAACTGGTAAAAAAAAGATTTACTTTATAAAAAAAACTATCAAACATTTTCAAATAAATGTTTGCCTGCTATGCAATCTAAACTGTGGACTTTATCACACAAATCCATGAATACGTTTTCATTGGTAATGGATACTTAGTAAGTATTAGTAAGTATTACTTACCACATTGAGCACCCTCAACATCACACTTCTCTTTGTTAGCCCAATTGTGTTGATTTCTCAATTTGGTCCCATGACCATTCTTCCGCACACCTTCATAACCCCACCTTCCCACAATATTGCTGTTCTCATTTCTTTTATTTTTAGCACAATTGCACAGTTCTTGCAATTAAAAGAAAGAAGGGGAATCCTGCCCTCTGACAATCTTTCATTTTGCGGGGAAGAATATTGCTTTCTCATCTCTAAATATCCATTCTTTAAGACCATGAAAGCCAAAAAAATAATAATAGGCGGCGGGGGGGGGGGGGAGCTTTTTAATCAAGTGATCAAGACAGATTTTAACAAATTCACAATCCCAATTTCTAAACAGATGGATGTCACCCAATTCAACTCTTTTCCTAGGCATATGTAAAGAAAAGTAAGTGAACATAGTTGTGGCCCATTATCACTTCAAATACAGAAAAGTGGTATGATTAATATCTACATTTTCTCTCCCTGGTTTTCCTTGAAATTGTTAGTATAGGTAGGCCTACGTGTCAACTCTTTCTTATTTCCACTGTTTGTTTGCTGTCCCATAGCGTAACTGTGGGTGCTACTTAAATAAATGCAAACCAGTTTAGATAGTAAATAAAATATAAAGCCATAAAATAAAAGGTAACATGAGAGACAAGGACAAAGACGGAAGCCCCTTTTCACTGCTATATAATCCAGATAATCAAATCACATAATCCACATTATCTGCTTTCAACTAAGGAGCCCCCCGTGGCACAATGAGTTAAACCCTTGTACCAGCAGGACTGCTGACCGAAAGGTTGATGGTTCAAATCTGGGGAGTGGGGTGAGCTCCCATCTCTCAGCTCCAGCTTCCCATGTGGGGACATGAGAGGAGCCCCCCATAGGATGGTAAAACATCCAGGTGTCCCATGGACAATGTCCTTGCAGATGACCAATTCTCTCACACCAGAAGCAACTTGCAATTTCTCAAGTTACTCCTGACACAAAACATTTACTTTCAGCTGGTTTGTATGAGTCTACACTGCCATATAATCCAGTCCAAAGCAGATAATCTGGATTTTCTATGGCAGTGTAGAAGGGGCCTGAGAGCAATGTTGGAACTGAAATCACAGATTTGAAATCTAAAAGAGATAGACCTTGGTTTTATCTTTTTGGTCACCCTCCTCTGCATACATTCGAGCTTGTCAATATCCTTTTTGAATTGCGGCACCCAGAATTTTGCACAGTATTCCAGGTGAGGTTTGACTAAGGCAGAATAGAGAGATCTATTCTGCTTTGTAACTATAAGGAGTATAGTATCTATATGACTTACATTTCTTTCTGTTAAAATTCACTTGGTTAATTTTAGCGCAGATTTCCAATATGTTAAGATCATTTTGAATTCTGTTCCTGTCCTCTTGGGTATTAGCTCCCTTTCCTAATGTTGTGTTACTGGCAAATTTGATAAGCAAGCCTGGCTTCCATCATTCTAGTCATTATAAAATAGCACTGGGTTCAATACAGAACCCTTTGGCACTTTATTAGACACCTCTCTCCAGGATGAAGAGAGCCATTGTTGAGCACACTTTGGGTTCAGTCAGTCAACAGATTAAAAATCCATTTAACAGTACCATTGTTTCACCCTTCTTTTAATTGCTGGTTTGCAAGAATATTAACTATGATGATATGCAAATCTTTCAGCTATGGGGTTCAGTAAAAAAACAGGAGATGATAAAATTTGATTTGCAATGGACTAGGGTTTCTGCTAACAATAAATGAAAACCACAGGAAAGCCATTCTCCCTGAAGTTAGGATGGTCAAAGTTGCTAATGGAAATTTTATGTTATCATCAGTAGAAATGCTTGAGCAATCCGATGTGACTTTAATGCCAGTCACTTTTTTAAAAACCTAAAACAAAATGAAAAACGAAAGCAAGTGGACATTTTTAAAAACTATTCCCAATAGTCTGAATAATTTAGAACACAATTTGGAAGAAATGCATCTAAGAATCATAATGTACATCCATGAATGGAAAGCTGGATGTCTCCACAATGCAGAGTTATGTCTAATGAGCATCCCGGTTTAGTTTTTGCTTTAAACGATTTTTCTCCACTTTGGGCAAAGTTGGAGGATACTCCAGAGTTTGTAGAAAACTCCAAAGTATCCTGTGACTCTGAGGAAGTCTGGATAATTAGATTGAATTTGATTTTGCCTGATCCACTATCTAAGCAAGACACTGGTGCCATCACTTTTTCCCTGCAGTCATCAGTTAGGGTTAGGTAACTCTGTTCTGGGATGGAAAACTCTAGAATATATCCAGTGCTGCAGTGGGAGCCTAGAAAACTTTCAATTGTTGAGCTGAAAGAGTGAATGGAGGAGAAGCCGCACAGCTGCAGTACACTAGCAAACTGCTTGATAAGAACCCTCTTGATCCATATTATCACATTTTAATTGTTTCCTCTTTCCTCCTTCAATGAAAAATTGGTTTTTCTGCCAATCTTATCTCTGTTTGGTTCCTTTTTACTAACAAAGATATTGAAAAAAGATAAGTAATTAAGCTCGACATTCTCTGGAAGTAAAGCAGAAGTTTATAATGAAGGGTAAGCATCCTTGAAATAGTCAAAAAGTGTCATTCTTTGGGCATTAGCCTGAAGATTAGTAACATGAAACTTGATATTCACTGAGAGGCATCAACACCATATTATCACTAGCTACTACATATCTTTTCTTTCTGGAAGTTATTCAGCCAATTCATTCAAAGGTGTAAATTGGCTTGGCTCCATTGCCTTACATTAAGTTCATGGAGTGACATTGTCTGGCCTCAGAAGGAGATATTAAAGGGGGAAATGTTCTAGATTTTGATGGTGAATAAAAAGGGCCAATGCCCATTTAAAATCTGCTGCAGTATTTTGAAACCGATATTAGGTTAAAAATTAGGTCAAGAGATACAATGAACTTGTAGAAGTATGATTTTCCTTTTTGATGTTTTTCTAGGCTTTCATCAGTTATTTTTATATAGATGGCAACCATAGGGTTTTTTTTTAAGTTATGCCAACTGGGCATTTCTTGGCATTTCAATTGTATTTGTGGAGCCCCTGGTGGCTCAATGGGTTAAACCCTTGTGCTGGCAGCACTGAACACCAATAGGTCAGAGGTTTGCATCTGGGGAGAGCAGGTTGAGATCCCTTTGTCAGCTCCAGCTCCACATGTGGGGACATGAGAGAAGCCTCCCACAAGGATGGTAAAACATCAAAACATCCAGGTGTCCCCTGGGCAATGTCCTTGCAGACGACCAATTCTCTCACACCAGAAGCAACTTGCAGTGTCTCAAGTCGCTCCTGACATGAAAAAAAAATGTATTTGTGTAATAAAACACAGAGACAAAGCAATGTGCTCCTTAGCATCAATATTGTTATAAACTTTTATGGGTCAAATCTGAGAATACCACAAGCATACATGGCTATGCATTTTCAAGCATGATAATGGATGCTTTTCATTCCTTTCCAGGAATGTATCTATAGTGCACAGTTAGAGTAGGTTAATACCACTTTAAGACCCATGGCTCCAACCTATAAATTAGAATCTTGCAATCTATATTTTGGCAAAATTCTTTGTGGTTCAGGAAATGGAACAACATTTTAAGTACTTCTCCAGCGGCAAATATGACCGTTATGGTTTTATAACTCTGTCATGAAAATGCACTCTGGGAATCCTACAAACAACACATTTAGAGTATGTTGATGAGCCTCATCCTTCTTTCATGATTTTACCAAGAACATAGGGTATCTGGAATTACATCCTTGCATTGGTTTGGTGTAGGACAAATTTGTAATTGGACAAGATTTTCTTTTAGCTAGCTGATGAGGAACATTTATTGCTTATTTGTAATGCAGATGCGTAAATCCATTTCTGTGCAGATACAATAGAATACATTTCTTTTACCTTTCAGAGCACTACTCAGAAAATACCTTGTTCAGCTTGTTTATTATCATGGACACAATTACATTTCTATTACAATGCTGCTGAAGTTTCTGAGTGAGAAGCTGTCTATGTATTGATTATGTACTGATTGAGAAAGCTGGAATCCTGCTAGTGTCATATGCACATCATTTTTGGGTGGGATTCAAAGGCCCTTTATACCTTATTCAAAGTTTCCTTTCTGGCAGCTGTTAACCATACAGTTGACCAATGCTGATGATGATTACAGATGGGAAAGGAGGAACAGGGAGGCAATGCAGAGGAAGGAAAATGGCCTGTCTGGGCTGCAAGAAAAAGGGAAATATGGATGAATTCAAACTGGGAGCACACCCACATTTCTTTCCTCCTCCAAGCCGATTCGAACTATTTGCCCCACATCTGAATTGCCCCCTCCCCCCAGTACTAAGCAGCTGCAGCAGACCTTTCTAGGGTTTGACAGACATCTTTCTATGGAAAATTACAGTTGTGAGAACTAACCCTTCTGATTTGAACAATAGTATTAAAATACAGGAGTTGACAGCTTCCAAAGGGACTGAGCACGGTGCACCGCTGGCTTAATGAGGGGATTTGGCCAGAATATTAAGAGTCTTGTCAATACAAGACTTTGGGGATATTTGCACTTTATAATGCTTCTTCCTAATGTGTGAATTTGATGTAGAGTTTTAAAGGATAATTCTTTTTAGCAAGGTATGAATGAGAGTTTCTCTCCCTGTTTTTGTTTTTCCTATTCATTTCATTGGATTCCCTTCAGGTTTTGTTGGCTATGAATTGAATAAGAAAGTGAAAAGAAAGCTGGTGCTGTCAGATGGCAAGTGTAAAGTGATACCTGGCATATACAAGCCTGAGAATCCAGTTGCTGGCAGAGAAAAAAACTGTTTGCATTATGGTGAATAGCTCAGGGAAAACATTCTAGGCATATCAAGATCACTCCAACACATATCTTGAGTAGGAAAGAACTAGGTATTAACATTAGATTGAAACATGGTTAGAAAGTCAGTGAATACTCTTTTCAAGAATACAAGCAGGGCGTATCTCTCTGTGTTGTGTGATTGTAACTGAAAATTCACATGAGTATTTAGTGGCACTGGCATGTCAAGGTAACTTAGGGCGTATCCAGACAATCTGTTTATTGCGGAGACTCCCACAATAAAAAGGGGGCTGTCCAGATGATGTCCTGAACAAACCTGAATAAATCTGCCACAAACCAGGAAAACCGTGGTTTGTGGTGAATTAATTTGATAATGGGCTTATTCCGTGCCTTTTTGGAAGGTGCAGGATAAACCCACGATTTCTGGTGTCTGGACTGCAGTCCAAACAGTATTCCCATGGTTTTTTGGAGAGCTGCCGCAGCTATCCTGACACATAGAAATGATGTGCCAGGAGAAAGCGGGGAGGAGGAAAATCGCTCCTGCCCCCCCTTCTCCTGACACATTATTTCTATGTGCCAGGAGAGCTGTGATAGCTTTCTAATGGAGGCTGGGTAAGTACTTTTGTTTTTAAAGGGCCTTTTTGGGCTTTTGGGGAGGTAGTTAAAGTGTCCGGGTGTTCTCCAGGGAAGTCCCAGAACACCTGGACATGTGAGCATGCGCTTTTTAAGGTGTGTGCAGATGCCTCCCTGGGAACATTAACATTTTAAATATGTGGATGCTCCTGGGATAATGGCTTGTCTGGAAGGGCCCTTAGATTTCCTGTTAGATTTCTTTTCTACAATAGCCAATAATGATTTCTCCTTCTAGAGTACCCAGGTAACAGGCCCCTTGGGTTTAATTGTTCTTGGCTTAAGATCATTTCTTTCACTGCATAGTACTTAAACTACCACAACAATGGGTGATACTTCTCATCTGATATTTTCATATACCTGCCTTTGAACAATGAAATTCCATTCAGTTCTTGCAGGTAGTTAATGCCAGAGCTTAGAAGAAAAGTCTTTCCTCAATATAATTTCAGGAATTCAACAGAACTAGAATATTCTGGGAATTGTAGTCCAAAAAGCTATTGCCCCAAATGCTGACTAACAGATGCCTATTAACACAACCTTTCTCCATTAGTGGTCTAAGCAATCTTGTCTTAAAGTCTTCTTAAAATATCAGTTAATCTGGCCATATCTCATCTTCATCAATCATATGTCTTGCAATGATCATTTATGAAAGAAAAAGTAAGGCTTTGCACAATTGCACTGAGCTAGGATTCTTGTCCTATTTACAACCAAAAATATGGGTTAGAATTTCTCTTAGTTTGATATATCAAAGCCTTCAAGTGACATTACGATGTTGCGAATGTGACTATGTTATACCTATCTGTCAGGTTCTCGAAACTCTGAAAGAAACTGCTACCATGACGTACCCTATACCTTCTGAGGCAGTGGTTCTCAACCTGTGGGTCCAGATGTTTTGGCTTTCAACTTCCAGAAATCCTAACAGTTGGTAAACTGGCTGGGATTTCTGGGAGTTGTAGGTCAAAACACCTGGAGACCCATAGGCTGAGAACCACTGCTCTGAGGGATGGGTTTGTCCACTCTTTGCCCATGTTGGGTAGCTGTCCTGCAGAATGGGGGAATGCAAAGCTATGTAAGTCTGCTACCTCTTGACTGAAAGCTTCAAACATATGGACATATTTAAACACTTTCTGTATTTTTTTTTAGATTTCAATATTAATGTCAAAAATATGTAGTATGATTTTATATAGGACTTGTGCTAGATTAGAACAGTAAAGACAAATATCATTTAAGTAAAATAAACATTAAATATTAAATAACCAGAAAAATAAAATAAGGTATAAACACTAAACTAATCTGGGAATCTGCTATTGCAACACATCCAATGAAGTGGTTTAAAACCAGTATTAAAAAAGATTAGAACTAAGTATGTTCCCGTCTACTTGGAATATATGAAGCTCATTCCAGAAGTGTGTTTAAGAACTTTTAAAAACCAAAAACTAATGTGTTTTAAAATGGAAATATCCCCCAGGTGCACATCCCAATGTCCTTTACTGTGCATGCAATTTTGAGATCATGATGGTCTTAGAGCCCTTTTCTTTCTTCCTCTGTCCTCTCATTCACACACACACACTTTCCTTATTATAGATGGACAGATCTATAATTCTTGTTCTCTCTGCAACTCTGACTTGGGAATGATATGACAAACTATTCGTAATTCAGAATAACTGGCTGATTTTTCATTCATCTGATCTATATAGATGGAAACATTTTCTCAATGAGAACCCTGCCTGATTTTTCTTTCTTTCTGCCACTCAATTTTTCCAATCAGTGTCCAAATGTAGATGAAATAATGTAATGAGTTTTGAAAGGAACAGAAGGGTCAAAAGACGGTCGCTTGTCATTTTCCTTTGTCCAGGTAAAAGAGTGTGGAGAACCATATTTGGTATCAAAATGTGGCAAGATTTTTCATGGCATAGCCATTCAGGTACTTAATAGGTAGTATCATGGTCCATTACATGATGTTACAAAAGCAAAATATGCTAGATATATGCACATGGCTTACATAAATATGCTAGATGCTTGCACATGACTTACAATTACTATGACTTAAATACGGTACAGAAAAATCACTATAGCTTAAAGAGCAACCATCTCTCACTGAAGAACAACAGAAAAGAAACAGCATGTGATCAGACCCAGCCAAAGGCACTATTATCCTAATATTATTGCAATTCACATGCCTTGTGTAATAAAACCCCCATTGAATTAACTGACTTATTGATGCTAGTATGTACTATCAAGTCAGCTTTAACTTTTTGAATGACAGAAATCCAAGAGAGTATGACATCCCTGTTCTGCTCTTACAAAACCATGGTTTCTTTGATTGAGTCAACCCTCCTGTAGTGAGGTCTTCTCCTTTTCCTACAGCTTTCAACTTTACTAAGCATTATTTTCTTTTCCAACGAGCTGTATCATCACATGATATGCTCAAAGTATGACAGCCATTGTTTAGTCATCTTGGTTTCAAGAGACAGTTCCAGTATGAGTTGTTCTTCAAACCATTTATTTGGGGGTTTTTTGGCAGTCCATATTAACTATAGAAATCCCCTTCAGTGACATGTTTCAATAAGTTGATTTTCTACCTGTCAGTTTCCTTCACTGTCTAGCTTTCCTTTCCACAGAGACATAACTAGACTCATTGAATTAAACGTTAAGTGAGTCAGAGACCTGAATCCTATTTCCAGACTCAGCTAGTTCAGATTCATTGAATCAACTGTTAGTGATTGCACAAATGTGTAAACCTCACTGTATTTTTCCTCCAGTTTTAAATTATGCAACATTTGTTGTGCAGGGAGAGTAACTTGCAAGAAAATCACACTGGGGAATCTTAGTTACTTGGGTCTACATATAGGAATGGGAGGTACTTTGGGTCATGAAATTTGATCTTGAGAACACCGAAGTGTCCCAATAGGTGAAGAGAGTTGTGGGGACTAAAAAAACATTTTTCAAATACTCCAGAATCACAAATGCTTTCTTTCCTCAAGTGGGTTTAATTCTAAAAGCTCATTCAAACTACGTTTGGGGTTGGTTTGGATGTCAGATATTTCTTAACAGATCAAGGGAGCTATAGCTTAAGGAGGCAATCCACCCACCCCAATGTATCTGGGAGCAAGTGTAACAAAAGTGAGAAGTGCTTACCTCTGAGTAGGCATGTATAAATTTTGCATGATAGCATTCTTTGCAAGAGGGTTGTAATCCATCTAAGGAACCAGGAGAAGTCATTTTGGTTTTTTAGGTTTGTTGTATAGGTATCCCCAAGCTGTTTCCATAACAGTGCTGAGGAGACAAAACATTGGCTTCCCATGCATACTGTCTCCATTGAACTATGTTTCATATTTATTACTTTATTCTAGATCAGTGGTTCTCAATGTGAGCATCCCCAGGTGTTTTGGCCTACAACTCCCAGAAATCCCAGCCAGTTTACCAGCTGTTAGGATTTATGGGAGTTGAAGGCCAAAACATCTGGGGACCCACAGGTTGAGAACCACTGTTCTATATTAATATGGCACAGATTTGTAGTACAAGAAAGCCATAGGATATATGCTGCTATTAGGATATGACTCCTATCAAATACATGGTAAGAGGCTAAAAGTTAGTGAGGAGTTTTGTAAAAGAGAAAGACATTCTAGTAGCAAGACAGTTTTATCTGTTTCTGAGATTCACTGTTCATTAAAAAAGAAAGAAAAGAAAAGCTATCACAAGCACAGAATAGCATTGATTCACAGTTTCTGATAAATCATCTAACGACACCCCATCTATTACTTGTCCCGAAATTGCTTCATACCCCACCCCCTGAAAGCTATATTTAGCCTGGAAATATACTGTTATCAATCAGTTTGTATTGTCACAATGGCCTTTTAATTTTAAGCTGCATGGTGCAGGAATTATTTATTGTTTTAATATGTCTCATCATATGATAATGCACTAAACCTTCTGTACAGGACCACTAATGAAAATATATCTGCGGAATGAGGAACAGATGGCTCACCACCAAGACATTTTTTTCCAGGGCAATGCTTCTCCCTCCCCCCCCCTTTTTTTGCTGCTCATCAAAATCCTAGTATTTTAATGCAGTAATTAAAATATAAGCTTGAGGTATTAGCACTCAGGGCGTTTAGCAAGCAATATTTTCTGCTTCTGTCACAGCTTCTACTACATCTGCAGCAAAAGGGAAAACACAATATATCTAAAATACATATCATTTTTGGCAGCCAAATATGATCAATTCAAAACACTACTGCCTCCGTAATTCTGCTCAGTACCCAGGGCTCCATATAACACACAATGCATCCAGATTCGTCATTGCAATAATAGTTATAAGACATTAACATCAGGATCCCTGCAAAGAACTTTACTGTGTAAAAAAATAACAATGTAAACATCCTAGGGATTCAAATGTTATGTCTAAAACCAAGCCTGAAGTAAAGAGAACCTACATTCCAGTGTGTTGCATTAATACACTTTAATTGAACATCCTGAATTTGTAATGAGAAGCAATCCATCTTAGAGCTGTTGATCTACCTCTGCTGTGTAAACACGGAGAGTCAATCAGTCCGCTGGGTGTGTAATATGAATGTCAGTCTTAACAAGTTATATGTGTTTGGAAGCTTGGCAGGATGGTGGTTGTGTTGGTGAAATTGATATCATGCCCACTGAGATTTTTCTCGGGAAAATAACAAAGCATTTAAATTCTCCCTGTGAATTAGGAAAACAGGCCAAGGTAAGGAAAGTAGGTTTTTACGGCAGGCTTTTCCATAGCAAGCTTTCTATAATTTTGCTATAGAAAAATGGGTTATTGTACTCTCGACGCCAGAAAAGTCAACCATCTCAGTCCGGCACATTTACTTGAAGGTAATGTTCACCAAGAGAAAAGCCAGCACAGATTATTGGAAAAGGACTCTGGGAGACCAGAGTTGAATCCCCACTCATCCATGGAGACTCACTAGATTACCTTGGGTAAGGCAAGTGCTTTCCTAAGAGAAAGGCAAATGAGCTCAGAATAAACCATCCTGGGAAAACTGTTTGGGAGAGTCACCAAAAATTGGGATTTATTGGAAGGTGTATAACAACAGCAGCAACTCCCAACAAATCTAGTCTTAAGGAAGCATGTATAGAATTGTATAGAGTTGAAGCCAATAGATTGAGAATTGTATTGTTGTTGGTTGTTGCTATTGTTGTTTCCTTCCTTCTTTTTAGAAGAGGGCACAGCAAAAACTTATGTTCAAGTCTATGCACAAACTGTATACATCCTGTTTACACCACAAGTCTGAACCAAGGCATTTTACTTTCTGAGGCTCCATCTACACTGTCATATACATATAGAAGTGTAGACAGGGCTTCAGTCAGAACAGTAAACAGAATATCTCTACCCATCCCAATCAAGATGTACAGTAGTCCAATCCAACCATGTTATTTTAGCACATGACACAGAAAAACTCTTGAGCATATCTTCCTACCTCCATTCATCGAAAAATCAGACCAATAAAAATTAAAGCAAGACTTGCCACCATTTCCTGATATCTGCTGCCTCAGATGATCATGTTACTTCATCTGAGTTGAGTCATTTCTGCCATAATATGAGATCAGTTTGCTGAAGCTGCAATGGAGTAGATCCCACTTCATCCTACTATAGTTCTGAAACGTCACTTTTTCAGATGACAACTTTTACAATCTACTAGTTGACAAGGGGATATTACTTTCCTCACATGGTGAGCCATAGGAGAGCTCCTTTTTACATAGGCCTGCTCTTCATGCAATTGGAGACCCTAATTGTTTAAAGGAGAGATTCCTTATTGCACAAAGAACATCCTTGTACAGAGAGCAATGGGACTAGAGGTAGCGAAACAGAGCAAACACATTTCCTTTTTTGTGTGTTGCTTTATAGGGCTTATGCCTCTTAGTAATATAACTCTAGCTGCAAAATGGCCCACAGATGATAATATAGGCACCTAGAGACTCACTAAATGCTTATATTATCATCCGTGGGACACCAAAATTTCCCAATTACTCCAGGCATTTAAACCTGTTTTAATTTGTATGCAATTTTAGTGTTTCAATGATTTCATGGTTGGTTCTTATTACAACTGACTAAATGCCCACTTAGACTCTCAAAGAGGATGAAGGGCAGTATAGAAATATTCATGCAGTCAACTGCTTAGGCTTCGTTTCATTGATAATGCTCTGTGTGGCCACTACGTAGCAACTCAAAGCCAAACCAGATTGGATAGAAAATGAATTACTGCATTTAACATGCAGGGTAATTTAAAAAATGCAAATACATGTATTCTCATGTGAAAATTATCTGATCACAGCAAGTATGCAGGAGGGCTGTAAACCAGTGGTTCACAACCTTTGGTCCTCCAGGTGTTTTGGACTTCAGCTTCCATAATTCCTAAAAGCTGGTAAGATGGCTGGGATTTCTGGAAGTTGAAGTATAAAACACCAGGAGGGCCAAAGGTTGGGAACCATTGCTTCTGACCCTTCTGTGCTTCAGTCTTGGTGACAGACAAGTGCCAAAAGAAAGCAGCGGAAAAAAGTGTTAATCACACCTACTCACACAAAGACAAGCAACTGTTAAATACAAAATCATATTTACCGGAGCTTGGGGAAAATAACCTTTTGTGCAACAATTTTCAGAATTTCCCTTTCTGCTGGGAAGATCTAGGAGTTGCCGTCCAAAAAAGGAACTTTCCCAAGTTCTGAAATTACCCAAAATGTCCAGCTCAGTCTTCAGTAGTAATCCATAAAGAAATGGAAAGGAAAGTGTTTCTGCAAAGGATAATCAAGCCTTTTGCAACTTCCTTAAAAAAAAAAAAGCAAAGAGGCTATTTCTCAAACTGATAAAAATCTGACATAAAAACTAACAAAAAGGACTCTTAATTTATTGCAGAGGCAAATTTCATTTCTTTCTCACCATTCCCCTATTTTGAGGGAAGATATAATATTTTATTCTAAATACAAACATGCTCTTTAAATTAACATTTGGTAGGAAAGATTTGATAGCAGTCTGATTATCAGATACAAGCCATAGCCGAATCCATTAAAAAGTCATTCAACTAATGACAACAAATATGTGTTTATTACTGTACCCAAGAAATGATGTTTTCTCACAAACGGGCTATTCTTAACTTAAGATAATCCACACTTAGTATGCTGAATTTTTGTTTTGCCTAACATTCTTATGTGCAAAACTGAAATAGATGAATGGCTTTGTGTTTCCTCCAAAGGAAAGAACAGATACAGGTCACTTCTATCTCTCCAGAGATGAACCTTTTTATTTCTAGGATCATTAGTGCTGGCTGGAGGCTGGAGCACATTGCCTTGAAAAGATATGGCTCTCTGAGTCAAAGCCCTACATCTTTATGCCATCATACAAGTTCAAACAGCTCAGGGCCAACTCACAGAAGAAAAGCCTATGAATCACTCCCTCTTCATATTGGATTTCTCAGCTGCCTGTTGCTGCTGCTGTTTCCTTCACTTGGGAGTTTATCATATGAGGCAGAAAAATCACAATTGCAGCAGGACAATAGCATCTTTGCCTTGAACTCACCATATAACATCCTCCCTTTCCCGCCACTGTCTCAGTGGGAAGCAGCCTGGAAAGCGTTTATTTTACAAACACAAATAATCTGTTAATGACCTCTTTTGTAAAAGAAATGCCTTCCAACAGACTCCCACTGGGAGCGCAGTGTGGCAGGAGCAGTATCATGTGATAAGTTCAAGGCAAAGCCACTGTCGTCCTGTGATTGCAGCTTACCTGCCTTGCATGATAAACTCCCTGCAGGAAGTCCTCTTAGTAGTGCTGTGCTACTATGAACAGGACCCACAGTGTACCTATATGCCTTCTTTGTCATCCAACAAGGTGAATCAACAAGTTACAGAAAAGCAGTGGCTTCCTTGTTGTTGCTATCCTAGGGTTAGAACAGAGGTGTCAACATAGAAACAGAATCTGACACACCTCTGTTATAAAATTTCTGGGTTTTTTTTCACGTAATCCGCTCCCACCACTAAACTCTTAAATAAGAATAGCTATTTTAGAAATGAGGAAGTGTATTATGGCATTGTCCTCTTTACACCTACTGTCACTTTCATTACCAAAAGCTTACGCTATGATATGCCAGCAACACTGTTTGCATTGTCTTTTGATTATTTTAAGGTGCCTGAAAACTCTGTGTTGTTTTACTACAAGAGACCAGTCCCCTGATTTCTTCTGATATTGTTTCAGACTGCAGTCCTCCTTACCAAGAAGTATACCCCACTGAATTAAATGGGACTACATATGAGTAGGCATGGAAAGGATTGTTCTATTGTTGTTGATGATGATGTTTACCTTCAAGTCATTTCTGACTTGCAGCAATCCAAAAATGAAGCTATCATGGAGTTTTCTTTGCAATTTTTTTCAGACGGGATTTGCTTTTGCCTGTGTGCGAGATTGTGACTTGCTCAAATGGGTTTCCATAGATGAGTTGTCATTCAAATCCTTTTCTCCAGAGTCCAGTTCAACATTCAAGCCACTGCACCACATTTACTTTCATTGTTCTCTTAGAAAAATAAAAATAATACTGATTTACCTGGTATTTAAAATTCCAGCATTGAAATATTGCTGTTTGGTAGCTGAAGTTAATGTTGATTTGAAGAATACATAAAATAACACATCACTGAGGTTTTACATTTTTTTTCCTCATCATTATATTGTCATTTTCATTTCCATGAAGTCAATAGGTTTTAAACATGCTTGTTTCTGATTGTGTTCAATATATTATTCATTATTTGTTTATTGCACAGATTTTTATACATCTGTCGAAGAAGCAGCAGTCATGGAATGTGTTACCTTTGGCCAGAGTAATGTTTTTAATTCAGCACATGCCCATGACAGTGAAGCAAATATTATTTCTCCCACACAGCACTTATCCCTATTCTAATGGCCTACATATATTAAATTATTTTGTTGGCAACGATGAACGAACCCAAGTGTGGAAGTTTTGTGCAGAGTAATGCTATAATGCCAGCAAGTTCACATTTCTTAGTTTAAAAGAGTGAAGAAAAATAAGAGACATAAACAAATGCTTTGACTTGCAAATGATAGCATTTAAATAGTGGATTTGGTTTAGAAGAATGGCTACACAAATGTTGCACATTACATTTTTATCATTTTTCTTCTGTAATTTCTGCTATCTGATTTCCTTTTTGTGTAAATGATAGACTCACAAGTCAAGGAGAGTAGCTAATTTTGCAAGGTTTTATAAATGTTTCTATCAATTTCCCCTCTTCTGAGCAATGGCAAGATGTAACCAGGGGGCAATGTAATGTTCTTTTCTCATGCTTTCCATCAGCAGAATGATTAATTACTATGCATGGAGTTCAGAAATATCATGTTGTTACTTATAGGACAGCTTATGGCTTTAAATCAGGTCAAGGGAACCTTTAGCCTTCCAGATGTTGTTGATTTCCAATCAACTATAGCCAGCCTGACTAATGATGAGCTGTTACAGGAGCTGATGACTCATCAACATCTGGAAGTCTCTAAATCCTCAAACTTAAAACCTTTGCATTTGCAAACAAAGTTTAGCAGAGTAGCTATCCAAAGCTTCTCTACAGCACAATGTGTAATATTGTTTAGAGAACTTTCTTCTTGCATTGAAAGCAGTGTGTATCAATGCAAGCTCCATAAAATTTGGATGTTAAGATGTTTCTCAACATCATTACCCAACACTGTAATTTACACTGTAATGCTCAATGTGAGGTAGGCTGAGAAGGACAACAAAAATTATTTCTCTTTTCATTTAAGTTGCTGGAACTTTCACCAAATGTCTCCTGTCCATCCTCCATCTTGATCAGCTTCAAAGGAAAGTGTGAGGACAGCGGGGGAGCACTTCCCAGGACTGTCAAGTCTGTGTGTGGGCTTGCTGTGTGGGCTTGCTGTGTGGTCTTGAGATTTTTTGCCCCACTTTTAAAACCTGCATACTAACGTTGTCTGGAAATGCCCTTAGACCATTGAATGTAGACTAACATAGAATGGAAATGTGTGTGTGTTCCTTTGACCCAAACTGTTTAGCTTATAAACATTTAGGAAGGTTCAGTGCAACCCAAAATTATCCATTCACCTCAGTGATCTCATTGTAGCCACAGTCTGAAAACATGGCAGTTCCAACAATCTACTCTGTCTACATCCTCCTTCTGTGTCTGAAATGTCTGGGGTTGAATGGCTGAGAGCACAAGAGCAGATCCAGCATAAATGTTATTACAGCTATTTTATGGGTGATAAAACAGAGTCCATACATATAGAATTCCTATAAATATGTGGCTTCACTGGAGTTGTGCAAGCAATTCAGACAAAGATCCATAAAACCCAAAATGAATCAGATTGATTTGACCAGTTGTGGATTGAATAAGCTTGACCTTATTTGATTCCATAGTAGAAGAGAATAGTTTGAAGTGATTTGGACCGATCCAGAAACCTGTACGTCAAAAATAAACAAGAGAAGACTGACAATATACTTCCAAAATGACAACTCCAATCCCAAAGCAGTGCAATATGGAAAAGAGGAAGTGGCCTTTGCTCATTGACAACCATAATGTGCAATCTGGGGGCAAGAAGCTCACCAGAATTCTTTAATGACAGTTCTTATGGGGAGGTTTATAGAAGACCATCAAAGTATATAGTCAATTACTTCTTCCATGCCTGCATTTCTACCAGATTGAAAGATCTCAATCACTCAACTGGGGGTCCTGCAGATAGCCCCATTAGCCAACAGATGTGGAAGGCAATTAATGCATCCCACCATTTATGAATGGTTAAAACAATGACCCCGCTGACAATGTTTTTTATGCTCCATGAAATAGCTAAGGGTTATCTGAACAACTGCTTTGTTCAGATAACAACTGCTTTGTTTAATGATCTCCATAGTCTCCTGGAAACATAGCTTTGTAAACTTTACTATTTTTGTTATTTCACAGCCCCCAGCCTGTACAGCTATATTGGCAGGGAAACTTTGAGAACTGTATTTTGAAAGAAGTAATCTCGGCTGGTAAATCATTATTAGTGATCTTTGCTTGTAAATGGAAGTAATCTGTTCTCCACTCATTTTGGTGAAAGTACTCACATATAAGTGATGAGACGTTTGTGCTTTATTTCAATCATGGAATCTCATTGTTCTAGATAAACAGATATTCCTTTCTTTTGCTGAGCAACACCCTGAACAGGCAAGCAGATATGTGAGTGTTAGGCTGAGTATTCAAAGACACATCTGCTCAGCTAGTACACCAAAAGCCACGGGCAGAGGATTTTGCTTAAGCTCTAAGTGTCAAGAGCTTTGCAGAAATATGCAATTGTATCTTTTTCTTGATTAATCATCATATACTTAGCATGTTAGCAAGAAAATTAATTTTGCCTTGGCAGAGTCTCCTTGTCCTCCTGTGATATTCAAGGGAAAGTTTAGCATCTGAGATTCTCACTTGCCCGATCTTGTTTACAAATCTATTAAGTGTGTGCTATGCCTAGTATAAGGGTAAGTCCAGAGGTCCTAATGGAAGAAAGCCCATTGGGTTCTTCCTTCAGAGAGTGGGGAAAGATTCAACATGGTTCAGAGTAGCTATGCAAGGGACTTTGGGATAGGGAAGAAATGGTGCTGACATTATGTGTACTCATATAATGCTTATATCATATCCTCTATTGATCTTAAAGGATATACACAGCTCTCTTCCTCCCCATTTTATAGTCACAACATCTGTGGGGTAGCTCAGGCTGAGAGAAAGAGAATGTGTATGCTTGACCCAATGAGTTTCATGGTTCAGTCTGGACATTGGTCTGGACATCCCAAGTCTCAATCCAACAATCTCACCTTTACTCCACAGTGGTGTTTTCTATGTTTTTCTTAACACTTTTTAAAAATGAAGCTAAAATTGCAGAAGATAAGCGTCTGCATGATCAGGCCTATGGCTAGAAGCCTGAATTGTCTAGAGACACTTACTGATAGATAATTCTCTATTTTTTTCCTGCCACAGATACAGGAAGAGATAAGATCTGTCTGACTAAAGTATAAAAAGGAGGCAAATGCATTCAATTACTTTTTAAAAAACAGATTTGTATCTTGCTGTTCCTAGACGTAGAATTTGATGGAAGAACACAGCTCCTTACATCTCCACACCTTCCAAATCAGTCATCCTCTCACGATTCTTTCTAAAATAATGCCCAAGATCATGTCATATAATGAAATACAATTAAACTTTATGGATCTAAAATTGCTTCAATAGGGCCATCAATTGCATCAGCTCAAACTAATCATGGAATTTTACGAGTATACAATGGCTTGCTTTATAATTATCACAAGGGAGCATTTTTCCTAAGCTCTAATTTGAATGGATATTGGTTTAATTCATCAGAATCCCCCATTATTGCATCTCAGGTAAAGCATTAAGTTATTGCTCTCACACAATGTGGGGAACAGAGAGAAACAAAATTATTCTGATTCTAATGAAAGCAATGGGTATTTTATGTTTTGAGGAGGGGCTCTTGCTGGGGAATGGAATTTTACAGTAAGTGGAAACCAATTCGCACATTACAGCTCTTGTTTATATCATTAATCATGCCAGTGGGTGCTCTGGTTATGTTTGATGCAGCAAAAATTCTGAATGTTCAGAACTCAGTGTGTTTTTACTTAGTAGATTTCATATCAACGGTGCAGTGAGACTATGAAAACATTCAATGAGCAATAATATAGCACTGTAATATAAAATGTGTATATGTAGATACACACACAGGTTCACACATGGTTCAGATAGCAGAAAATTGAGCTAAAAGGGATGTGACAAATGTAATGTATAAAATATGTTTGACTACATTATCCTGCACTCTGTTCACTAATCCACCAGTCCACTAATCCAAAAAAATGCTACTATTTCAGACCTCTGTGTAGCTTCAAAGAGCTGACATTTTAAAAGAATCCTGCTTTATGTTAAATCACCTTTAACTTTTCTTAACTTTTCGTTAAAAGAAGAGTTTCTCTCTTATGTGAAAGCCAGCAAGCTGCAGTGGAAACAATTGTGATTCCATCCCAAAATAAATATTCAAAGAACTTTAGGAAGTGTGTCTGCTTGGAGATTAAATATGAGTTCAAGCAAGTCACTCAGACTTCGCCATAAGCAAAAGTATTTTCCATTTTGGAGGGTAAGGGTGGTTTAGAAATCAAGACCTTTGGAAATCTTGCTATATTGGGAGCATAGGGATTTAGGCAACTGGACTGATGTAGTGAAGTGAAGCAATACTAGGGATGTGTATGCATAGAGTTTTTACACTCCCAGAAATGATAAGTCAGTATGGCTTCTGAGCTCTGCAGCTGAGCTTCCTGCTGTTGCCACAGTACTGCCTAAACTACATAGACTCCATCCAGTGCAGTTCAGCTTAAGGATCTGATGTATGTGTCACTGGCCATTGCACTGTGGTTCAAATGTTGGACAATATGTGGGTAAGTTCTCCTGGTACCCTTTGCAACATCTAATCACTATCCCAGTGAACTAGGGATGACCCCACTTTTGGGGCAGGGTTGGAAAAACTGTACAGGAGGCTGGATTCTATTTTTGCTGAGGTCAAGCTGTGTCAGCTACCATTTTGGCCAGCAGGGTGAGGATGGAAACCTTGCTGAAAATGGAAAGCTTGCTGAAAATTTGCCCTCAGTAATTCTGCTCAGTTTGGGGGTTAAAATAGCCTAAAAGCAACATGTTGCTCTGTGGTTTGGTGGGACACACTTCCCCACCTCTGCATTAGGCCAAACACGGATGAGGTAACAGATCCTGATGTGGGTTTAGCAATGATAGGTTTTCAGCTGGTCCTCCAAGGTGTGTTATCCATTGCTCTTTAGGGATGCTCCCATGCCCTCTAATAGATCACAAATTAAAATTGAGACATGTGGCCAAGAAATAACACAGTGTGACAAATATGGCAAACACTAAGAGATAAAAACAGTCTGCTTTTGTCCCACTGGGAAGGGAAATATTCCGCCCCCTTCTTTCTCCCAATGAGTTACTTCAGTGGAAACTACTTCTTCTATTTGAACTCAGTTTGCAATATCTGAAATAAGCCTGGGGGCAACAGGAGAAAGTGAGAGCATGAGAGAGAAAGTAAACATTATAAAAGCAGCTGAAAAAGTGGGATGACAGTGAATTAACTGGGACTGACCTTGTCAAATCAATAGTTAGATATGGAAAGCCCCCTTAAATTCCTTGAAGTAGGCTTTTGGTTTCAGTTCTGTTTGTCTACATTGCTACCGCAGTTACCAATACAGAATCAGAATTATGCTCCCAGTCCAGGTCTCTCCTGTATGTGACAAAGTTGTTTTCTTTTTTTTCCAGGCAACAACATGTTTTTTTGCCAACTGGTCACCCAGTCTATTCCTTGCTGCTGCCCCCAACCACACAGTTGCTATTTCTTCAGTTGGGTTCCAGAAATGAGCAGATGGTAATGGTAAGAGTAGGAACAACAGAAATCTGACCTCTATGATAGACTATTATGCTATATGTGCTGAAGAACATGCCCAAGCAGATTATCGACACTTGCATGCTTTGACACTGGCCCTGATTAAATTACAAATCTTTCATGGAACATGTAATGGCTTCCTTTTGGGATATGTCCCTTTTAATGAAAAAAGTATCTCTTGGTATATCTGGCATCTGAATGATGACTTGAATGGGACAGATAAATCAATGAATCGACCCAGGTAAATTTTAAGATTATCTGGGGAGGCCATGCTCTTGGCTCCGCCTTCATCACAAGCATGTCTGGCAGGGACGAGAGACATGGCCTTCTCAGTGGTGGCCCCTTGGCTGTGGAAAGCCCTCCCTCAGGATATCAGATCAGGTTCTTCCCTATTAACATTTCGGAAAAAAACGTAAGACATGGCTTTTCAAGCAAGTGTTTG